CTCATATCACCACAAGGTTCTAGAGTCCTTGTATATCAGATCCCGTAGGCCTTCCCTCTGTTTACAGAGGGAATGCTTACTGGTCTGAATGTTATTGGACTCTAGCTTTCTTGAAATTCATAACCCCCCTCCCCATTCGTTATCATTAATATCAATTAAATTTACACGTTTATTTATTTTTTTTTTTTATATCCCAGAAATAAACTTGATAAGGCTGGGACGAAACCAGTTGATTTTAGCTTTTAAAATATACATTAAAATGCTATATAAATTATGCTTTTTTATATATATATATATATATATATATATATAAACACTAACAAAAATGTGTCCATAAAAACCATTGAACACACATTAGTCACTATCACAAATGCTGGCAAAACAGACTGCATGGATAGATACACATTAAATGGGTTAATAGATTTAGGATGACATACTTTCAGAAGATCATTTTTAGCATTATGGTCTAAACAATAGTTAATGGTTAAAAGCCTTTAACCATGAACCAGGGCATTCTTATGTAAAACAGCTTGACCATCCCCTAGCAGAGCCTCAAAATTGAATTAAATTGAAGAAAAAAAAAAAAAAAAAAAAAAAACCTAAAAACATTAGTGGCATGAAAAAAAAAAAAAAAAAAAGCAATTATATTTCATAACATGACCGCAGAATCACCTACTTTCATTCAACTATCTGAGCAACAGGCAATGGGGAGTGGGACACATTTAAATGAGCAGAGGAATAGCAAAAAAGACTTTTCAGAAACTGAGTAAGCTACAATGGAATCAAAAAATAACAATACGATACAAAGAAAATACCAGACTAGATGTCTATCCTTCTATATACCAATGAAAGTTAAACAATTTTACCACAAAAAAAAAAAAAAAAAAAAAAAATCGATGTAAGCAAGATATGGTTCTGCTAACAAATATGGAGAATATCATGGACAGAGCATATGACAAATGAGGAAGCTCTAATTAAAAATAAAAATAAGAAACCTGATAAAAGTAAAAGCTGAAATTTTGGGACAAATGAAAGAAGGCCTAAACAATTGAATACTCACAAGAGATATTGAAAGTAGAAGAAAACAGCAGGTAACTTACAAGTTTGTGCAAATGGATGAAAGAACAAGTACTGCAAAGACAAAAAGGTGTTACAAGGGTGTAATATTGCTGAGATCGACAAAAGACAGGAAGCTGTGGAGAGCTAAGATTGCCCATATCCTAAAGGGACAAAGCACAGAAATAAATTACCTATAGTGAACATTATAGAGGGAAAATTTTAGCTCAAAATTTCACTAATAGCCACATACCAGGTTGCAGACATGTGACTATCTCACACACAAAAAGGGTTTATCCCTACATACTTAAATTATTAGATTGAAAATCTGAAGTAACCCTCTTTATATAAAGGCGTTAAATGATTTTAATATTTCATCCCAGTAGAAGTGATGATTAGATAAACTAAAAAATTTCCAAAGAAACCCTACATAATCTGGAGTGGTTTTTATTCTCTTAATTTTTACCTTTGTTCATTTATTCATTCCCACAAAAGTAAATATTTATCTTCTTCAAAATTTAGTTAAGGAACTTCTTAAATCAACAACAAAAATGATCAGACAAAAAAAAAAGCAGCATCTTTCATCAGAGATAAAAAAAAAAATTATTTTTTAACGGAAAAACCTCTTCAACGAAGCATGTAAGATTCAAGAATATAGATACTTCAATATGCTATATTACGGTCTATTATACTGACTAATAATAATTTAGTCAAGTCATAACTATATAAAGAAAGAGGGGGTGCAATTCTCCCATTTGATCATTTTTAATCCTTTAGCATTTAACTTGCCCAAACCCACTCTGTAAACATCAGCTCTCAATGTTCAGCCCATCCTATGTATACTCTGCCATAATATATTACAACATCATTGCAAACAACACAGCCATGCAAACAGTGAAACTGATTAAAAACAGACTGTGTGCCAGTATTTAAAGGGCATGTTTGAACAGGTTTTAATGCTAAAAGGGTTAAATTTTAAAAACAAAATTTTCTTGCAAGATATTAAATGTAAGAATTGAACAATACCAAATTTGTAATTAAACTCTTTAGGTCAGGTTAGACCTGCTACTGGTAACATGTTACCCAGTTTGAATCTGCCACATGGATGGATGGATGAGTGACACCTAACCCTAACTCTCTCCACTAGCTTTTTCTGCTAGTGAAGAAGGTGGCATGTCAAAGCAAAAAAAAAAAAAAGAAAACCTGTCAAAGGGTGGAGGAGCTTAAGAGCCAACGGTCAACATGTGTGTATGTATTTATATGGAGACTCAAGACTTGAATGACAACCTTCCTAGAGATGGTATCTTGGTAAGCAAAAAAAAACACTGTACTTGAACTACCATGATTGTGCCTTGTAAAACCATGCCTCAAATCATTATGACAAATCCTTTGGCAGGCAGAACCCAATTTGCTTTGTGTGAGATTAACCCCAGTACTACCTCAACAAAAGAAATGGTTATGTGTGCATGTACCAAGAAATGCAGCAGAAAACAATAAATGTTCAGAAGATGTTACGTTTGCGGTAATATCACCAACAACTAAAGAATAGTACAGCTAGCAGAGCTAAAAATTCTTCAATTCTTTGAATCTTATAAATAATAATGCAGAAAACAAAAATAAACATGGTAATCAACATAAAAGGTATATAAAGAAACAGATTAATTTACTATGATTATAGTTGGCTACTCTTTTCCAAATACACCCATCTGTTGGGGAGGGGGATTCTAGCCAATCCCTGTTGCAGATGCCTGTTCAGGTACATGTATCTGTTTTAACACCTACAGAGTACACATGTGGTTTATACTGCAGCTATGACAAGCAGACCTTAGTTACAGCTTCTGGGAGATAGTACCTTCCATAGGGTCCCTGATTTTCCATTTCAAGTTTTCCTTGATTCCGTTTCCACTTTTGGTAAATTCCATTTTTACTTTTGGGAAATTTCATTTTTTCCATTTTTATAGTATTTTACGAGAAAATTGCAATATGATATGCTATAATTATTATTAAAACTGAAAACCACAGTGTAATTCAAAGTTTTATTGCATATAAAGAAATAGCAAATATGTACAAATCTACATAACTACAAAGATTTGTAAAAACAAATTTTAAGGAAATAACTGTTACATTTATTATATTGTTTAACAAAATCAGAGTGTTATTAAGTTTTGAAAAAAAATTTTTTTTTTTAAATCTGAAAAAAAATTTAAAAAAAAAAAAAAAAAAAAATTATTTATTGAAAATAACATTAAGAAACACAGATTCTGTGATTCCATCTACGATTCTGTGATCACAAAAATTTATTCCCCTACATCTAGCATGATCAATAGTTAAAACAAGGCCAGTACACTCAAATCAATGCCTTCTGAACAGTTTTCACTAAATAGAACTTTGGTCAACTCATGGTATGGTTTTTTTTTTCTTCCTACCAAACAGACCACTGTGAGAATTAAACCTGGGTCTCCTGATTGGAAAGCATACATTGTAACTACACACCCACATACCTATATTAATTTACTTTATAGTAAAGGTATATATGTAAGGGTAAGACAGGTAATTGGCAAATGAATAAAGACACTACCACTTATCATCCATACACAGCCGACTTAGTTGGAAGTGACAAAAAAAAACAAAAAAAACTGTCAAACAAATATTCTCAACGATAATGTAAATGATTTTGCCATTTTCTAAGAAAAAAAAAATAGATAAATAAATAAATAGCACAAATTTTTTAAATGTGTCTCCAGTAAAGTGGACACACAAGCAGTTATGATTTAAGACATTTTTAATGACCTTGTTTCACGAGGAAGACAAACCACTTATCAGCATTTTACTTATTTCTTTTTACATCTTGGCTGCCTCATCAAGTCATCACACACTTTATCTGTTCATTGTAATATTTCAGGAAAATTCACAACACAAACAATTTTATTTCAAGACCACGCCTTTACATCAAATCTATAAAAAGAAATTGGTAGATTAAAAGAAATTGGTAGATTAAAAGAGTAACATTTTTAAATCCCAGAATCTGGTACAATGCCATAGTAACAGGGCACCCATATTTATGGAGCACATGGCCCAGACAGAGACTAAATCTACCTTCCTAGCAGCTTACAAGTTCATTGTGCCCTTCCCCTTTGGAAATATATCTTTCCCAGATATAGAATGAAACTCCAGCTTGCTGTCCTCAATTTGGAAAAACCCAAGACTTGCTGTTTTTCCATTTTATGAATAAGTTATCTTGTCCCCTCAAATCTTAGTCTTTTAATGTCCTCTCTCTGTCCTCAACGTTTCTTTCATTCCCATTAACCTCTTGCATCTTAGTGGCTTTATCATCTTTTTGGAAGGAAGGATTAAAAACACAAAATTTGAACTAAGCCGAAACATTTTCTTTATATAATATTTTTCTACAACTTATTGTTACTCTTTATCATATTATAGCCTCCAATTATTGAAATCAACAAATAGTAAAGTTGCAAATAATAACATTCATCAAAAGTTTACTACCTTCAATCTATGCTGCTTGTGTGATAAAAGCAATAAAAATAAAATGAAAGATAAACTAATCCAAAAATTAGACAATGCTTCATAGAAGAAATCTGAACAACTTAGGAGATTCAAAGTACTTTACCTTTTAAGTAGTCATTCCATAATTGGTAAGATTTTCTTAAACCATTGGCAGCATACTAGTCTTGCTTTTAAGTTAAAATTCAGACAACCAAAACTCAAATAGCAGTGCATAAATAAATTTGCATAAAAACTTAAAACACATTTGGTAGCACCTGCTGACCCCCCAAAACTTTTTTTAAAAAAAGCGAAACTTACACTCATCGTAAAATCCATATATCCTGTTGATACTGGCACATTCGTGGTTGCCTCGTAATAGGAAGAAGTTCTCTGGGTATTTTATTTTGTAAGCTAGAAGTAGACAAATTGTTTCCAAAGACTGTTTGCCTCTGTCTACATAATCCCCCAAAAATAGATAATTGGCATCTGGAGGATAACCACCGTATTCAAACAATCGCAACAAGTCGGAATATTGGCCATGAATGTCACCTGCAAAATAAAAGACAGAAAAATTTAGGGTTTTTTTTTTTGGGGGGGGGGGTCAAAATGTTATCCTGCAACATGCATAACAATTATCAGCACCCCTATCACCAATGTTAAATCAATCATAACCTTAAGTGGTACTTTATGAGTGATTTTACGGTATATCAATTCTTATATATAATGCTTATGTAATGCAAAACAAATTTAAGTTCATTACACATTCTCATCCAAGATTTATTTAATGCTCACATGCACAAAATAAAATCTTTTGGTCAAAGACATTCATCTGGACAAATTAGAAATGAAAGATTACACAGTTCCTTCAGCATATACTTGTTGGATGGACAGAGAGAGAGAGCAAGTGAGCTCTATTTGAAATTCTTTTAAAAGAGCTCTTTAATACACAACCATTTATTTTTATTTTTTCTCATTGACATTCTTAATAGAATGATAAATAATAAAGCAGAATAAGTGAAACAAACAGAAATTGCAATCTATGCATGGAGGAGAAACTGAACATTATAGAATTTAAAAATGTGAATTGTTGAATAAACAAAAAGGAATTAAATTATTTTGAACTGACAGCACACTGACATATTACTTTTGAAAAACGAACAGTATGTTAAAACTTTGGAGTGTCCAAAATAAACAAGCACCCATTTTGTAAAATTGCTAACCATGATATAGACTATATAAATGCACTCTACCAGAAACTGTAACTAAGATTCACTCATTATAGTTCCAATATAAATCAAAGGTAGACTTTGTGGATATTGAATAAATACAAATGTGCCTGAGTGGACATCAGAAACTGTTATTAGCTAGCTGTCATAACAAATGTGTTTTCTTAGAAATGAAAATATATATATATGGTTCGATGGATTGAGTTTGTGACCCTGGGTTTCACGCTTTTGTAATCATCAAAAGCATGAAACCCAGGGTCACAAACTCACATCAATCCAACCAAATATGTTAGCTCTATGTCTGATATTGAGTGCTTTCTAATAAATACCACACAAATAATATATTACACACATGCATATATATATAAATTTTTACATATCAAGAACCATTTTGAAACAAATGTATGACAAATTGGAAAGAGTTTTAATGATGTGTTTCATCCATTAAGACTTCATTGGACTGGGTTTGTTTATGTTGTTGTGACTACACATGCACACAAATGAGAGATGCTGGGAATTTCAAAATTTACAAAAAGTTTTTATATGTGTATATATATATATATATATATATATATATATATATATATACACACACAATCTAGACAAATTCATCAAGATTCTTTTTCTATTTGTTTCCATCATCTTTTTTATTAAATATACTTCACTGTGATAACAAAAAATCTGCCAAGAATATTGAAACATAGTAAGAACCTTGATGCAAATTTACTGTGGACGAACTAGCAATTAAATCACTTTCTAGACATTTTCATCTTAGTTAATTATTTTCTCTTAATTAGAGTAACATTTTTTATATCAAAATTGTGGTCAGTTTCATTATGGTGAACAATGCATTTTGTATTTTTTTTTTTTTTTAAAATGTCTCTTTTGTGTTCATATAATCTTTTATTTAAACTTCTTGATTACTCCAATATATTCTTTCTAGCAATCCTCGCAAGCGATAATATAAATTCCTCCTTCAATTTTTGGGTTGTTTTATATTAAGTCTTAATATTTTAGATGTAGTTGTGATAAATTTTATGTTGAAAATTATATATATATATATATATATATATATATATATATATATATATATATATGAAATTATTTGTTAAATATAACAGACAATGAATGTCCTTTGTATGATCATGAGCCGTTCTAAAATTTGTATGGTTGCTTTAATTTCAGGTGAAAATAAAGACAAAAAATTGTCCAACATTTGAATATTTTATTTTTTATTATGCTGTTCCTTGATCTAAGCTTTCGGCTCACATTAGTCATCTTCAGAGTGGTTATGCGGACATTTAAATAAAGATATTCACCATTAAAGATGATATTCTGTTATGTTGACATAGAAGATTGCTATATGACAATAATGGTTATGGAATAGCGGACACAAGTCAAATTCATGATGCAGTTCTATGACGCCATACCACTTGGGACCAAAATATTAACAGAAACATTGGTCTAGATACAATGTAATGTGTTGTGACTTGTTCGGACAAGTTTTGTTTTTATTTTCACCTAAATTAAAGCAACCATATAAAGTTTAGAACGGCTCCTGATCAAACATAATAGACATTCATTGTCTGTTATATTTACCAATATGTTTAAATAATGATCTGCTGCCCCAATATACTATATCAGTGGTTTTCAACCAGGGTTCCACGGAACCCTAGCATTCCGCCAGTAAAGACCAGGGGTTCCGCAAGAAGTTACACAAGTACTATGATTGACAGTAATTTTTAATTCTCCTGTGCAGATATGTAAGTTTAGGTACCTCCACTAAATCAATAACAAAATAGCATAGTATGAATAAAAAAAGGTCCCAAACTTAATAAAACAAACTTTTTCCATCAAAATGTTTATATTTTTATTAAGAGGAAAGATCAAAGTAATTTTTAATTATTTTTTTAAATTTTTTAATCCCTTCAAACATTTTCGAAATTTTGTCAGAAAATTTTGTTTTGATTTGAGTTAGCGGTTAAACAAACGTTACGACTGTTTTACAATGGAAAACATAAAAATTATATCACCCACTTTTTACAGTGACAAACATTAATTTGGAAATTCTCGCAAAAATCAAATAATTGTCGGATTTTAATGAAACTTTTAGGACTTATTCACAAATGAAGTTATTATTTTTTTTAAATCTTGGTAAAAATATTGAGTATTCTTATTTTATTTTAATAATTGAAAGCTTCTTTTTGCATAAGACAATTTATTGCAGGGGTTCCTTGAGCCACTGGAATGTTTCCTTGTGGTTCCGCTCCAGCAAAAAAGTTGAAGCCACTGCACGAGATTATGTATATATTGGGGGCATGCATGCAGTGCTTGAAAAATTGTTGGTTGACCAAGTATAACCTAGTAATATGAAATGTACAGGCTATTACCAGTTATTACCTCTGCAGTTTAAGTCAAGAAGGGCTTCTTTACAAATATATGAAGTACATGAAAATAAGAAAGTATCAGAAATTTGATTTTTTTTTTTTTTAGTCTGTCTAGGTTATAAGAATTTCATCAGCTTAGTCTTCTGCAAGGCCACAATTGTGGACACACAGTGAGGATCAAACTCTATTAGACAATAATTATGGTCTCCGAGATTAGATTGCTAAGAAATAAGCACCACAGTGAAGTGCCCTTAAGCAGTAAGGGTCATATTTTGCTAGGGGAGTGGCTACTTGTGTCCTGTTCTATTTTAAACAGTGATAAATCTAAAAATTGCCATTTTGCAGCAATCACAAAGGAAATAATTAAAGGAAGGATGCAAAGAAAAAGAAAAAAAAAAAAAGTCCACTGCTTATATTTGTCAGGTGATAACCCTGAGTCATCACACCCACCACATTAAAATGTGTATGTAAAAATGTATACAATCCCACTAATGTATTAGTCTATACATTAGATATGCACGGATGGAATAGTGAAAGACAAATGAAGAGGTGAGAGTTAAAAGAAAAAGGAAACATTAACAGTTATGCAGCTGATAGAGAAATGGAAGAATGGTGTGTTTTACAGCATATCAACACCTTGTGGGTCATTTAATGCTGAAATTTAATTTTCTTGAGAGCATTAGTAATTTATTTTACAAAAATGAATTGCTGGTAACTCTCTTACTTTGAAATACTATGTATTGCTGGTAATTTTTACTATAAAAATGTATTTTTATATTTTCATAATGTTTTGACCCCAGTTTGGGGGTTAACTATTTGTCCATAGCTGGGGCCCAAACAGGTGTCAGGGTGGACCTGGGAACAAACAGCAATTAAGAGGTAGTTCCAAACTCCTCAAAACCTCCTGATCATAGGCCTTCCAGCCAAATATAGTTTATCATCATGTACACAAGATCAGGAAAGGGAATTATCTCTGACACAAATGAAGTTTAAGGTGTGTGTACACACACACACAGACAGAAAACCTTACTAAAAATTAGATAAACAGAAAATATTACAAATATATATATTTAATATTTTTATATGTATATATATATATATACATATATATATAAAAAAAAAATATTACTATATATAATAATATATATATATAAACAGAAAATATATATAAAAATACTACTTTATTTTATATATATATATAAAAAATTATATTATATATATATTTTATATATATAAATATATATATATATATATTTATATATATATATATATATATATATAAAAAATATTACTATTTTTATTTTTATATATATATATATAAAAAAATAAAAATATTATATATATTTATTTTATATATATATATATATATATATATAATATATATATTTTTTTATATATATATATATTTATTTTATTTATAGGACCTTGAATAAGTTCTCACCGTTTTCCAACAGATGGCCAGAACTGTGTCTGTGTAGTTTCAGATGGTAACGCATCTATAAAGAAGTACTATAAGCAAGCTCAAAATTCAGTGTATGTCATTTCACTGAAGTATAAACAAATTTGTGTTTCATATTGTTAAACATGTTGGATTTTATGCCAAAGAAAGCATATTTATGGGAAATTTTACTGCACTACTTTATTCAAAAGAAATCTGCTGCTGAAAAACACAGAATTTTTGTTGAAACATCTGAATGTATTCGGAATGATTCAGAAGTAAAGACATTAAGTGCCATATGAGTTGAAGCCATGTGAACAGCTGCTTCAACGGCAGAAAAGGAAATGTTTTTTGCATCGTATTGTGACCAGCAGTGAGAAGTGGATACACTACGATAACCCTAAGCGCATAAGATCGTGGGGTAAGCCCGACTATGCATCAACATCGGCAACAAAGCCATATAACCATTGTTCGAAGTTTCTGCTCTGCATTTGGTGG